ATGCTTCAGTTATAAGCTCTAGTCAACCAGAATCTGGTCTGACTTACATGGTGTGAATGTGGAGTAACTTCACTGCTCTTACTCCATATTTACATTGTAGGCAATCAGAATCTGATTCATACCTACTTCTGGTGTAAAACTGATTTTGTGGTGACAAATGCAACATTTCTTTATGAAAAAGGAAATTTTCCCTATGGCTTCTTTTATGAAAATGCAGGCCATTTTTCAGGTTGTAATTAAGTTGATTTGTTAGTTTGTAGGTTCTTTTTATTTTGAAAAGAAGAAAAAGTGTTCATTGGCAGAAGTGGTGAAAATTTTTCCTGAAATAAATTCTTGTAAAATCTTGCAAAAAATCTGTTGTCATCAAGTGAAACTTGCTCCTCTCACATGTTCATAATACAGACCCATATCTGTGATATCACAGTAACTCTGAAGACTCAGTTCCTTCTTGGTAGTATTGCTGACTTGCTAGTATTCCCTATGCTAGGTTTGTTCTGGCTCCCATTGACTTGAGTCAGGATAATGTTCTGTGTATTTGTGCTGTCTTGTTTAAATGCTAAACCAGGGCTTGGATTGAGCTTGTAGGTAGCTGTATGACACACCAGCTTCTCTTTCTGGCTGCTGCCTTGTTCTCCAGAATCTAAGCTTTCCAGGAACTCCCTAGTGAACTGAGCGTAACTGATGCAGTGATTCCTGTGTTTGCAGAACCTGAAACAATAGCTCGGAGAGGTCTGAGCTGCCCCATTTGTTCCAGGGGTGCTCTGGTGTGGAGTGATAATGTATTAAGTGTCAACATTGTGAAATATTTCACTCTGATTAAAGTGGAAAAGGAGAGGGCAGGTCATGCTATGAGGATCTACGTCATCTGCTGTGATGGACAGCTCACTGTGGTGCCTCAACAGTGGAACTGGGAAAGTACTGCCATTTTCCCATCCCAAACCCAAGAAGCCTAGAAGAGCCTAGCAGGGCATCTGGGCCTAGTGTTGCCAACCCTCCAGGATTGGCCTGGAGTCTCCTGGAATCGGCATTGATCTCCTGGTGACTATTGAAAGCAATTCAGGAGATTTTAATAGGATATTTTAAGAAAATGACATTATGTCATGTTGGGGGAAAAAAAATCTCCCGGAATAGCTTCAATCAGACTTGGAACCCTATCTGGGCCCCCACCCTGGGGTAGCCTACAGAGCTGATGGGTGTATCTGGACCTCAGTAAGAGGGAACCAAGCCCTGAAAGCAAGCAGGATCATATTTTGAACATCTGAGCAATCTACTGTGAATGGCGTTTCATGTGGGCAGAGATTGTTTTGTGGGTGGAGCTTGGAAGACTACTATTACCTTTCCCTGCCATTCATAAACAGAATGCTGGTAAACAGACATAGACAACAGGTCGATATGATCATTCAGTCAGGTTAAAGTTTGTGTGGCATTGATTCACTAAGTGTTTTCATTCTACAAATTCTTTATGCCCAACGAGTAATAATGAGAGAGAGCTAGAGAGAGCTATAATGGGCAATAATAAATGAAAGAGCACTAGGAATAGAGAATCCCTTCCCTAAAGTGAGTAATATACTGAACAAAAGGTAACAAGGTTTCCGTTGTTTTAGAAGCTGACACGGTGACAGAGAATTACAGTAAAGTGTCATTCTGTCTTTGCCACATAAAAACTGCTTCCCCCCGCCAAGGCACTTTAATAAATTTGTTTCAACAGTAATAATCTCAACTGTGAGGACAGAGAGAAAATGGATCTTTCTCACCTTATAAGCTTGTCTAACACCCCCATTATCAGCAATGTTTTCTCCCAGAGTATTGATTCCACTCAGCTGCAAAGAGAGAAATGAAAAAGTTGCAGGTTTTCTCGCAGGAAAAGCTTCTCTATCCTGGGAATTACAGTGCTAAACTTCTGAGTATCTCCTGTTTATTTACCCACTTTGGCCTTGACTAGAGGTCTCAGATTCCAAAGCAGAGACGAGTGAATGGCAAAAGTTTCAAGCAAGCCCTCCCAGATTTGAATATTTAACGGAAGATTTATGTTAATGCATCTGAACATTGTCTGCCTCTCTTGTCTCCAAACCCTAATTCCCTCCCTCTCGATACAGTGAGCATTTTATGGCTGTCATATCTTTCTTGCCCAGACTTTCTGATGTCTGCTGATTAATTCACTTTCTTGTTCTTTGTGTCCTTAACATCCAGCTTCTTATCTTTCTCAAACCCATCCTCCTTACTTTTGCTATAATCTCAACAGTGGGTCTGGCTGATTCTGTTGGGCTCAGTGTGGTTGTATCATCATTGCTCAAGGTCTCCAGGCCAGTGGTGGCCAGAATACACTGGAAACCCATGAAGCAGGGAAGATCCAGACTTCATAACGTTGGAAGACATCAGTTAACAGAACCAAGACTGGCAAATCTGCTGGTACCTTGCTAGGAATTTTGCTGGATATCAGGCAAGGTGGGTGGCCCCTTAGCTTCATGGTCTAATCAACACGCTGGGACAGATCCTCAGTGGGTGTAAATCAGCATATTAACACTAAAGATAATGGCACTATGCTAGTGGAGAACTTGGCTCTTTATTTTTATTGAAAAACGTTGCCAGTCCTTAATCCAAAATTGCATGTCATCTGAAGTCATAAAACTGCAACTCATCATTAGATTCAATTCTGAGGGTGGATAAATATCAGAACAAAAATCTGCACTGTTATTTCCCCGAAATGATTTTTAAATGATTCTGGTGATCTTATTGGTATAGCTGTTAGATTGAAAACTCCTCAGGATGGGAGTTTGTCTTCGCATGTTCTGTATGGCAATGAACAGACTTGTCAGCTGTCAACAAAGAGACAATAAGAGTTAAGGGTACAGCTGGGAGCAACCCCTCATGCATCACTTACAGCAGGAGGTTCCATCCCATTGAAACTCTGCTCTTTATACAAATAGCTTTCAGCACTGCTGAACACTGCATGTGGTTATCCAGAGAAGTCCAAAATAAACAAGATTGATGTTGTAAGAACTGGCCTTTCACAATGGAATTGGGTGCTATTGTAAACACCTTCCACCCGTTTACTGTCCAACAGTGTTTCAGGGGCTCATGCTCGTTTGCTGTGTGACCTTCTCTGTGAAAGAAACAGCAACACAAACTGGAAAGCACATTAGTGCAGTAAAAGCCTTTACAAGCTGTCCACCGAAAATGCAGGCAGCTCAGCAGAGACTTCAGATGAAAGAGCATTGAAACTCAGTCTTTGAACTGTGAGAAATGCAAGCTTGGAACTGCAGTGACACTCAAAGTCTGCTTTACCTCTGTCTCGTTCTATCTGCCTTTCTCAACTAGCTTAGGTCTGGTCTATACTACCCGCCTGAATCGGCGGGTAGAAATCGACCTCTCGGGGATCGATTTATCGCGTCCCGTCGGGACGCGACAATCTATCCCCGAATCGGCGCTCTAACTCCACCAGCAGAGGTGGTAGTAAGCGCCGCCGACAAAAAGCGGCAGAAGTCGATTTTGCCGCCGTCCTCATAACGGGGTAAGTCGGCTGCAATACGTCGAATTCAGCTACGCTATTCACGTAGCTGAATTTGCGTATCTTAAATCGACTCCCCGCTGTAGTGTAGATGTAGCCTTAGATTATTAGGGCTGGTTCTGTGTCAACATTTCTTTGCGCTGTTTGGTTAGGAGGATGCTTTTTTTTTCAGTGCAGTTTTAGTTTGAAGGAGGTTCACTGGGATAAGTTGTGTGGGACAAGTCACAGGATATGGCTGCTGTTCTAGTGAACCACCAAACTTTGTACAAACCCATGCGAATGTATGCATTCCAAACCAGGGATTGTAGCTCCATGAGAGTTAACAGTTATTTATCGGCTTTTCTGTGGTGATATCTGAGTGCCTCACATACATTAATGAATTCATTCTCACAACATCCTGATGAAGTAGGGAAGTGATGTTATCCCAGTTTTACAGATGAGGACTGGGGACAAAGAGAGCTTATATGATTTGCCCAAGATCACACAAGGAAATCAGCAAATCCAAGATTAGAACCCACATAACCCTAAATCCTAATCCAGGTCTTTAACTGTAAGACCCTTCCTCTATGAGAGAGAGACAACTGTTTGAATGCCAACTTTGCTTAACTTCACAACCTGTGAACACAAGGGCAGCTCTATGTATGTATGCAGTCAGGCGGCTTTTGGTGGCACACCTGTGGGAGGTCCACTGGTAATGCAGATTCGGCGGCATGCCTGCAGGAGGTCCGTTGGTCCCGCGCCTTCGGCGTACCCACCGCCGAATTGCCACAGAAGCTGCGGGACCGGCGGACCTCCCGCAGGCATGCCACCAAAGGTAGCCTAACTGCCGCCCTCACGGCGACTGGCAGACCGCCCCCCGCGGCTTGCTGCCCCAGGCACGCGCGTGGGGCGCTGGTGCCTGGAGCCACCCCTGTGTGAATATATGCAAAATGGTTCTGACAAATTCCTGAAGCTGTTCAAATTGAACTTTGAAGGGTTCACAGCTCTGCTTAGACTCTAAGCAAATTCCAGACCAAAGGAGTAGAGGAGACTGCAGCAATGGAAGGAAAATGTGCTAATATAGGTCTCTGTTTATAAGAGAAATAGAAATACACTGATATGACTGAGTATCCTTCAATACTACTTCAACTGGAAATTTTGCCATTTGAGTTAAATGGGCTGGACCCATATTCAGTTAAAAAAAAGAAGACAGATGTTATTGTCACCTGCTTTTATGAGTTAATGGAATGTTAAACATACACGAACAGACTAAGGGCCTGAACCTGCAAGCCTCTATTTATTCAGGACTCAAGATACTATAGTGATGAATACCATAGCTCTCTCCAGATGCATTGGAGGCCTGTCTCTATGTGGATTGGGATCTGTGCTGCTGACAATGCAGGGGGAGAGACTGAGTGGGCCAGGGAAAGTATCAGGCAGGATGAGTTTAGACTGGGAGGTACATTATCCCCACCTCCAGCTCCAAGGAAATGAAGCCAAAAATATAGCAGATTATCTTTCAGATAGTTGAAGGGGGAGGGGAGGGCTTTCAGGGCCCAATGCTGGTGTAGATTTGCAGTCACAAACCATGGTCTTACAAAGGGGGGGGGTAAACCCTGTCCCCTGCTGGGACAGACAGTATGTATGTGATCTTCTTGGAGATGTCATCCACCAAAGTCTCCTTCCATAGGTTTTTCTGAGGGGGGCTAATCTGGGCCATACACCTCAATGGCACTACTCTCATGAATAAGAGTTTGTGGGATTGGCCTTAAATGTCCATCTTACTTCATTTAAAATGACATTGTAGAGACAGAAATTATGAATGACCTACATGTTTTCCACCTGCTAGGTCCCACGAAAAGTTTCCATACTGGTATACCATACACTGGGACTGATCCTTAAAATGTTGTGCTGATTCTTGCGTCCACCAGTCCATGAGGTCCCCATTTTCATTAAAATTTCTACCTGTAATGATATGTGCACAGAATGATGTATGTAAGAAACAAGCTGATGATGCAGTAATGAAGGGCAATAAAAGTTACTTTCTCAGTTAGAAGAAAATATATTACAGTATAATTGTCCATGAAAATAGGTGTTTCTGTAATGAAGCAATCACAGAAATGATGCCCTTTTCTTCTTTCAAAACAAGCCTGTGTTCTAGTCAGGAAGGACAGGTACTGTTGCCTACAACATAAGGCTCTCTCCACAATAGCATACAAGGGGCTTTGGGAATAGCCTGGGGGAAAAGCAGGAGATCCACTGGGGGTCAAAAAACCATGATGGAGGGAGCGCATGTGCTTTGCTGTGCTACTGCTCAAGAGTGACATAAGCTTCTTAAAAGTGGGGGGAGGGGGGCACCAGTGCCTGAACCATGGTCCCTCCCCCTGTAGTGCCCCTTCCTCTTAAGGCCCTGCCTTCATGCTGCCTCTTCTCCCCAAGACCCCGCCTCCTGCTTGCTCCTCACTTTTAAAAATGATGGGGCCATGGCCCCCTGGGCCCCCTGTTCCGGCACCCCTGCTACTGCTGCGGCCCTGAGGCTACCTTAGTGCCTCTGTTGCTCTCAGAGAATACCAGTGCAAATCAAGAAAATCAGTACAAGAAAATATGATTGGGTCCTAGAAGCATCATCTTTGTATCTTCTACCTTGAATGACTAGACTGCAAAGTATGCAGTCAATAACGTAATGTCTACAAAAAATAAAAACCCTGAACCTTACCATTGTCGTCAAATCCATGAGTGATTTCATGGCCAATGACCATACCAATGCCACCATAATTCAGTGATTTGGATTGAGAGGCACTGAAGAAAGGTGGCTGCAAAATGCCTGCAGGGAAGACTGCAAAGGAAGAAAACACAATAAGATGCCGATTCATTATTTCATGCACTCAACTTTAATAAGTAATTCATTCGTATGGGATCACTTACAAGAAATGTACTTTATTACAGAATCATTTACATGGACTTCAGTGAGGAAATCAAGCTGTTTGCCCTCAAATACAACAGCAAGGGTAAATATATTTACATATGGAAGGCTCTGTGAGAAGTGAAGATAAATGAGCAAAAAAAAAAAATCGAACATGGGGCAAAGGGAAACATCCCTTCAAACATTCCCACGCCACTTCCCACAGCTTCCATTGGCTGGGAACGGCGAACCACAGCCATTGGGGGCTGCGGGTGGCTGTGCAGATGTAAACAAACTGTGTGGCGGGCCGCAGGTTGCCTACCACTGCCCTATACACTACTGTAATATTTGTACAAGGTATGCCTTACGAGGTATCATCTGAAAACGTATAACTTGCTGATCAGTAATATCATGGTAAAATGTGTGCATCAGCATTATGTGCAAAGTTATAAATTCCCCCCTTTATGATATTAAAAATGCATGTTCAGACTCACATAGCATCAAACTGGTCAAACAGACCTGTCTTGAACAAAGGAGTATGTGTTTGCCTTACTTTACATTTAAGCTGCAAACAAAGTCATCAAGCAAAGAGGGGGAAAGGGAGGAAACAAAAGGAAACCTGCATGTGAGCATATACAGGTGAAAAAAACCCAGCAGGGAACATTCTTCCACACAGACTCTTTGGTTCCTGGTTCTCAGCTGGAAATGCTTTACATGAGGGGGACTGAAACTATAAAAGGAGGGGCAAATACCCCAAAGGTGCCTCTCTTTTATCTCCCTATCTAGCTCACTCTTTGCACCTAAGAAGAGAAAAGAAGCAGCCGTTGGACTCTGGAGAGGAGTCCTTACCTAGACATTGGTCAGTAATACTGCTGGAAGCATGTGGTGAGAAACTTTGCTTGGATCTAATATAGATTGTTAAGTTAGGCACTAGACAGTGTTTTATCTTTATTTTTCTTGTAACCATTTCTAATTCTTATGCCTCCTCACCTGTACTCATTTAAAATCCATCTCTTTGAGTTAATAAATTTGTTTTATTGTTTTATCTAATCCAGTGTGTTAAGTTGAAGTGTCTGGGTAATTCCATTTAAGGTGGCAAATTGTTGTAGATTATTCCCTTAAAGGACTAAGGGACTTTAAAAACAAGAAAAATGTATCGAACAAATGTGAATCTAAGTGTTTTCATTGATCTCACAAAAGCATTTGATACAGTCAGTAGAGAAGGTTTATGGATGATCCTCAGCAAATTTGGTTGCCCACCAAAACTGGCAAAGATTATTCATCTATTCCATGAGGGGATGCAAGGTCAGGTACTTTTTAATGGCGATCCCACTGACTCCTTTCCCATTTCAAATGGTGTCAAACAAGGCTGTGTCCTTGCCCCTGTACTGTTCAATCTCTTCTTCACCCAAGTTCTCAACCATGCTACAGATGGTTCAACAGTGGCATATACATCAGATACAGACACAATGGCTCAGTCTTCAATCTTACAAGGCTTAAAGCAAAAACAAAAGTAACAGAACTACTAATATGAGAAGCACTCTTTGCTGATGATTGTACCCTCCTAGCACACATAGAGGGAGAGATCTCCAGTGCATCGTAGATCGCTTCACTGAAGCATCAAAATTGTTTGGCCTCACAAGCAGCCTGAAAAAAACTGTGGTGATGCACCAATCATCTTCACTGCTCCATGCAATATCTCCTAGCATATACATTAGTGGAATCCAACTAAACTAAAGTTGGCAGTTTTACCTATCTCGGCAGCAACATCTCCAATGATGGATCTCTTGACAAAGGGATCATGAACAGGATAGAGAAAGCTTCTCAGTCATTAGGAAAGCTATGTAGCAAAGTACTGAAATCCCACAACATAACCCTCTCAACAAAAATAAAACTTTACAATGCTTTTGTGCTCACATCTCTCCTCTATGGCTGTGCGACTTGGACACCATACAAATGGCATATCAAACAGCTAGAGGCCTTCCATATGCAGTCTCTGCACGATCCACTGGCAGGACAAAAGTACCAACCTGGAGGTTCTCCAAAAGTCAAATACCACAAGCGTCAAGGCCATGCTGATAAAAGCCCAACTATGCTGGGTTGGACGCATCATTAGGATGCATGAATATTGACTCCCCAGAAAAATTTTCTATGGATAATTGGCACAAGGACACAGGAATCAAGGCTGCCCCAGAAAGCGCTACAAGGACAGCATCAAGAACAACACACACTTTGGTGCAATAAAACCGGATGATGTTGAGAAGGCTGCGTTAAATAGAGCAGCATAGCAACACACAGCACTCAGAGCTTTCCAAGCCTTTGAAGATGACAGAAATAATCGATTGCTGCAAGGGAAAAGCATCATACTACTGCCGTAGCTACCAGAGGCTCACCAATGACTTTGTCTGCCCGATCTGCTCACGAGCATGCACGTCACGCTTTGGACTTCAGAGTCACTCCAGAATCCACAAAAAGAAAGAGCATAAAAATGTCATCGTCGAACACACACACACACACACACACACACACACACACACACACACACACACACACACTATTA